TGCCGCAGTGAGAATTGCAGATCCTGAGTGCTGCAACTAAGACCTGGCACTGCCAAATAAATATTTTTTTAAAAAAAGAGTATATGATAACAGATAAAGAGAACAGACTTGTTGTTGCCAAGGGGTGTGGGAGGGAAAGATTGGGAGCTTGGGATTAACAGAGGCAAACTATTGTATGTAGAATAAACACAAGGTCCTACTGTATATCACAGGGAACTATACTCAATATACTATGATTAAACCATAATGGAAAAGAATATGGAAAAATACATATTTCTAACTGAATCACTTTGCTGTACAGCAGAAATAAACATATAAATCAGCTCTATTTCAAAAAATGTTTTTAAGTCAGAAAGCTAAAAATGTTTAAAATTCAAAGGTTGAAAAACAAAACATTAATAAAAGTAGTAGAATATAAACAATTGAAATATTTTTTTTTTTAACTTACAAAAACAAAAAAAAAGAGTAGGGATGTCCTTGGTGGGCCAGTGTCCATACTCCCAATGCAGGAGCCATATGTTCAATCCCTGATTGGGGTCCTAGATCCCACATGCTATAACTAATGATCCTGCACACTGCAAAGATTGAAGATCCTGAGTGTTGCAACTAAGACCTGGTGCAGCCAAATAAACATCTTTTTCAAAAGAAAAGAGTAAATAGGAAGTTTTTGTCTCTAGGTGAAAAACTTTTTAAACTATGTTATATAACGAATGGATATTAACTAAACATACATGGTAATCATTTTATAATATATACATATATCAAACCATTATGTTGCACACTTCAAGCTTATATAACATGATTAGTCAATTACATCTCATTTAAAACTGAAAAAAAATTAAACCTAATTATAAGTTGCTTAAAAACAATCCTGCATGAGGGCTAAAAATAAAAAGAGAGAAACAAAGCAAAACCTGAGAGAGTACTAATGAAATGAAATGAAATTCATCATAGGAAGCAATGTTAATTTTAGTTTGTATGTACAGTTAGAAATGGAAATATGAGAATCTTTCAGTGAGTAACACAATATTGAGCTATGGAAAAGGTATATTAGAAACAAGGGTAATCTGACAGATGTATAGTATCCGTGGGAACCATGAAGAAGCCCTTCTCTGATGGACAGAGCAAGTCCCATCAAAGATAACTGAGGTGTCTGGGGAAAAACCCTGGACAGGTACCAAGCTTCTGCTTTTGGTTTGAATGCCATAACATCAACGTTTACTTCCTCTCGATTAATGCAGAATAAAAGAAATTTAAAAGTTCCAAATCAGGTGACAAAGTAATGAAGCCAGCTTTTAAGGCCAAACTTGTTTTTTATCCCTTTTAAAACAAGAATATTTTAAAGCTGGGAAAGTACACACTGCCTATGAGAACTGATGACTCAAAGGTAAGATCATCTGAACTACATTTGGTGGGGGAGGGATCTGGGAGGGAGGGGAGCAAAGAATGTCCCCATCATGCCCATTTTTTAGAATTATGTCAGTACTGGAAAACTTAGATCAGCTTCTCCCGATACCTCTCAAGCCACCATGAGCACACCAACAGAAGAGACTGGTCTAGCATGACTACAGGTCCTGTTAACTCAGACTCCTCCTCCTGCCATTCCTAATGCTTTGTCTTCTCTCCTGTTCTCCCTTCTCTTGGGGCTGGGGAGCAAAAAAATCTAAGAAGAGCTCTCTCTCCACGAAGCCCTTTGCAGAACCAGAGTATCATGACAACTTTTGGTTGCTTGCTGGGCCATGAGCTAGCCATGTTTGTGACTGACCAATATTAAACCTCCTGCATTCCCTTTTTTTTTTTTTTTTTGGTCTTAGGTTTTACTGGTAGCATTTTATTGGGGTTTCAGCACCTTCATTAGTCTGGAGTTGTGTTATCTTGGTCAGGGTTTGATACCAGAATTTAACCACTTTATAAAAATGCACTGTCCTAAAATCTTTTTGTATTCATCTTATCTTTCCATCACTTTTAAAAGTGCTTCCCACTACCTGTGGGAAGGGGAGACAGGTACAGATACTGACGCCCTTCAGCCTCCAGAGGTCTGTGTGGCTGAAGCCCCACACAATGAATTCCCACTGCAGCAGTCTTGACACTTCAGCCCAGACTGATTAATATTTTTGTTTCTGTGAGCCATGCTGTGAAAAGTTTGGGAAACACCATATAGTAGCAGGGTATCTAATCAGTGATACCCACCAGGGTTCTTGGCCTTCCCCAATCGATAGAAATTGACTAGAGAGGGCAGATAAATTCCGGCAGGGCTTTAATGGGGCCCCTGTACCCCTGAGTATGTGTGAGGCAGTGAGCTCGTTCCTTATTTGGGGTGAGGGTAGGGGTGTGGCCAGGGTTCAGGCTAGAGAGATGGCTTAGGTGGTTTGCCCACCTCTTTGTGATGTTGAGTGCAGGTGGCATGCGCAGTACTCTTCTTTTGCTCCAGACACCCAGGTTTTTGCTCCTAGTTCTTCAGAAATGGCAGTTAGGTTTTTTGGTCTCTGTATCATTTGGGTCCAAAATTTGCCCCAACTGCACTGTTATTTTTAGCCCCATATAGTTTCTTTGTATTTTTTAGCTGGTGGGGAGGTGTGTCCAGATGCAAGCTTTGCAGCACTGCAGTGAAGAGCCCCGGTTCAGTTCAGTTGCTCAGTCGTGTCCGACTCTTTGCGACCCCATGAATCGCAGCACGCCAGGCCTTCCTGTCCATCACCAACTCCCAGAGTTTACTCAAACTCATGTCCATCGGGTCGGTGATGCCATCCAACCATCTCATCTTCTGTTATCCCCTTCTCCTCCTGCCCCCAATCCCTCCCAGCATCAGGGTTTTTTCCAATGAGTCAACTCTTCCCATGAGGTGGCCAAAGTACTGAAATTTCAGCTTCAGCATCACTCCTTCCAATGAACACCCAGGACTGATCTCCTTTAGGATGGACTGGTTGGATCTCCTTGCAGTCCAAGGGACTCTCAAGAGTCTTCTCCAACACCACAGTGCAAAAGCATCAATTTTTTGGCACTCAGTTTTCTTCGCAGTCCAACTCTCACATCCACACATGACCACTGGAAAAACCATAGCCTTGACCAGACGGACCTTTGTTGGCAAAGTAATGTCTCTGCTTTTTAATATGCTGTCTAGGTTGGTCATAACTTTCCTTCCAAGGAGTAAGTGTCTTTTAATTTCATGGCTGCAATCACCATCTGCAGTGATTTTGGAGCCCCCAAAAATAAAGTCTGACACTGTTTCCACTGTTTCCTCATCTATTTGCCATGAAGTGATGGGACCAGAGGCCATGATCTTAGTTTTCTGAATGCTGAGCTTTAAGCCAACTTTTTCACTCTCCTCTTTCACTTTCATCAAGAGTCCCAGGCTTGTCTCAAAAGTAAAAAAGCATCAGCTGGCTGTACTCTGTATCTACTTTGGGGCTTGAGAACTGCCTCAGGGACCTCCTATTTAAAACAGACCTGGCCATTTCCCATCTTTTTTTGACAGGGTCTGGAGCTTTCAGGTGCTCTGGTCCTGACAGGTGCCTGACTGGGGGGGGTGGGGCCTGGTTAGCCCAAGTCAGCAACAGGTGAATTTCATGTACTTCCTGTTGTGTTTCCCTCTTGCCTGGCGGCCACAGGCACACGGCTCCTCTCCAGCTCTCCTGCTTGAAGCTTTAAGTGCACGTTTGCTTGACTTGTAAACTCAAGCTTATATTTAAAACTGGAAGCTTGAGACTTCCCTGGAGGACTTTGCCTTTCAACGCAAAGGGTGCAGTTTCTAATTTCTCATCAAGGAACTAGGATCCCACATGTCCCCTGCCCAAGTAAACAAAAACCTAAAACAGAAGCAATATTATAAAAAGTTAAAAAAAAAACTTTTAAAGTGGTCCACGGTAAAATAAATATACTTGAAAGCTTAATGAGAGTGTTCTGTTTCCCAAATATATAACCCTACGATTGTCATGTTCTTTCTAGACTGGTGTGTCTTTTGCCATCTTGTTGACATGAGCGTAAGAAATTTTATGGTTTTTTTCACAACTGAAATAGTAAAGAATTCATCTGTAAAACCACCTAGGCCCAGCAACCCCCCCTCCCCCTTTTTTTTAAAGCTGAGGTTCCTTCGATATTTAAGTAATACTTTCTTTCCTGTTTGTTGGCTTACTCAAGCCTTGGAAACAGGTCCCTGAGACAGTAATAAAAGTTAACCTTCCTGAGTGCTTCTTGGGTGTCCTTTATTTCACACAGGGTGAAAGTTGCCCAGCCGTGTCCGACTCTTTGTGACCCCATGGATTTATACAGTCCATGAAATTCTCCAGGCCAGAATACTGGAGTGGGTAGCCGTTCCTGTCTCTAGAGGATCTTCCCAACCCAGGAATTGAAGCCAGGTCCTCCCGCATTGCAGGCAGATTCTTTACCAGCTATCAGGGAAGCCCCTCACACGGGGTGACCTCATCTAATTCTGAGAACCACTGAATCCTAAGTTTCAGGTGAGAAACCAGAGGTTTCCAAGAGTTGAAAACTTCTAAGAACCCTATGGCGCTTCAACAACAAAAAATAACACATCCGGGCCAAAACATGGTCCACGACACCGCAGTCTGCGATCTGCGGTGATCACAAGCTTGTCCAGGACACGCGGAGAGGACTTCCAGGTGAGGGCCAGGTGGAAGGGAAGTGGGGACTAGGAGCCATACCAGAAGCTGGAGGTCGGAGAGGATGTGGTCAGGAGACCAGGAAGGCGGGAGGCGGGGTTCCAGCCCCTCTGCCCCCGCCTCCAGGGCGCAGTGCGTAGGGCGGCGGCGGTTGTCCGGCCGTTGGCGTCCGTGTGGCTTTTGGGAAGTCTCGGGAGTTCTGCGGTCTGGGGTTGGGCGGCTGGGGGCGGTGCGGGCGCCGGAGCGCGCCGCCCCCACCCCCACCGGCGGCGTCCGGGCTCGGAGCGCGGCTAGTCGCCCGCTGTTGGCGGCGGTGCGTGGCCGGAGCTGGGCTCGCGGACTCCGCGGCGCTGAGCCGGGAGGAGGCGCGGCCCCCCTCGGACCCCGGCCCTGCAGGTTTTCGCCTCCAAAGTTCTTCGCGAGGGAGTAGCGACAAGGAGAGCAGGACTGGGGCGAGGCCGCGGCGGTGCGCGTCTCTCCAGGGCTAGTCCGCCGGGCGGCCGGCGAGGCGCGGGGAAGATGCTCCAGGTCCTGGTGCTTAAGGTGAGCGAGCGCGAAGCCCGGGGCCCGGCCGTTCACCCGCTCCGGTGCAGGGGCCGCCCCGTGGGGGCCCGCGCGAAGGGGTTCCGCACGGGCTCCTCCTGGACGCTTTTCAGATTAACAACCGGAAAGTTTCATTGAGGGGGTGCTCCATGCGGTAGTTGGGACGTACTTAGGAATAAAGTTATTCGTTGTTTCTCCGAAATTCAGATTGAACTAGATGTCTTGTATTCAGAACCTCGGGGGGAGGGACGGTGTCTGACACCTTCTCCCACGCACCCGCTCCGGGACCGGCGCAGGGGGAGCCGCCGTCCCCTCCGCCCCGCGTCCGCAGGGTGTAGACCTGTTCCTCTCCCCGGATGCGGGTCCTCTCCGGCGGGGCCCCATCCCCGTTGGACAGGGAACTCTGAAAGCTGCAGGCTGTGACCTCACTAAGGTGATAGAAACAACTCTTCTGCTGGCTGAGTGTGTGATTTAAGTACTGTCAGTGAAATCCACAAACAATGTCGAGTGGTTTTTCTGCTGGAGCTGCTTACCGAGGGGGTGCTTTGCCCACTGGAGGCTGGATTGAGATTGAAGCAGTGGCTGTCCAGGGACTTCTCACGACAGCACAACCAAAAGTGGACCAAGTCTGGCATTTTTATGACGTTTTAAAATTAACATCTTAATTTTTATAATTGATGTTGGAAAGTGAACTTGACTGAAACATCTGAAATCATTATGCAAATACTGTATACTAAGGGGAACTGAACATGAATTGATGATTAATGATGAGTCCAGCTACTGATGTTCTAAATTACACTTAACCCACTCCTGTTACTGAATGTGGGAAAAGACGCACTCATTACATAGTTACTCAGATAAATGAAGGTAAAGGAAAACGACAGGTAGGAAAGATAAGTTACTATTCCTGGGAAATAATAAAGAACACACTTTAATTCAATTAAATCATATTAATTTAATGGTGTGGGATATTTCTCATGCCGGATAGCTAATCCTACTTTTACTTGAGTAAAAGCAAAGTATTCAAGTTTGAATGGTAGAGGTAAGGAGAAGAAAGTGGACCAAAATTTTACATAGATAATATTTTTCGAAGGGTTTCCCTGGTGCCTCAGATGGTAAAGAATCTGCCTGCAATGTGGGACAGGTGGGTTCAGTACCTGGGTCGGGATTTATCTAATGGAAATTATGTAGACACGCAGGGGGAAAAAAATGTGTAAGGTAATGACCGAGTGTGGGCAGCTTTACCTATGGCGCTGGCGGGAAGCAGGAGTCCCTGACCTTGGTGTAAGAGGTGGATGGAATGACCCTGAGGGTTGGGATGGGGGTTCAGGATGGGGAACACATGTAAACCCATGGCTGATTCATGTCAATGTATGGCAAAAACCACTACAATATTGTACAATAATTAGTCTCCAATTAAAATAAATTAATTTTTAAAAAAAGAGGTGGAGGTGGGGGGAATTGTGAGCCCAGTGGGGAAAGTAAGCACAGGGAAGAAGTTGCAATTTGATACTGTTGTTCTAGCTGGTAAAACTGATCCTTTGTACATTTTTTAGGTTCTAGTAGCAGATTTTTTTTTAGTTTATAGTACTTTATTAGTTTCAGGAGCACAGCACAGTGATTCTGTATTTTTATAGATCATGCTCCATTAAAAGTTATTACAAAATAATGGTTGTAATTTCTTGTGCTGTACAAGATATCCTTGTTGCTTATGTATTTTATGTGTAGTAATTTGTGTCTCATCCCTTAATCCTTTTTTGGCCCCACTTCCCTCTCCCGACTAGTAACAACTAGCTTGTTTCCTGTATCTGTGAGTCTGTTTTTCTTTAGTAGCAGATTTTTTAAAAAAAATTTTAACATTCTAGAAACTACAAAGTATCTATGGTGCCTTAAAAATTTTTTTAACGTCTAAAATTTTTTAAAAACATCTTTCTCCAACGTGGTATTTTGTAGTTTCAAATTCCTTGAAAACAGGTTACAAAAGCAATATTTGAGAATAACCATATACTCTATACCTAGCATCAAAATTGTTAACATTTTTGCACATATTTGCACATTTCTTTATGCACGCTAAGTCACTTCAGTCATGTCTGACTCTTTGCGACCCTTGGGACTGTAGCCTGCCAGGCTCCTCTGTCCATGGGATTCTCCAGGCAAGAATACTAGAGTGGGTTGTCATGTCCTGCCCCAGAGGATCTTTCCCATCCAGGGATCAAGCTCACATCTCCTGCAACTCCTGTATTGCAGGCTTTACCACTGAGCCAATGGGGAAGCCCGTATTTCTTTATTTTATAGAATTGTTGACTTCTTTTGTTGAACCATTTGAGAATAAGTTGTGAACTCTAAATACTTATGCATGTGTTTCTTAAGAACAAAAGACTTTCTCTTACATAACCATAGTATAATTATCACACTTGAGAAATGTAATGTTGGTACAACAATACTAATACATAGTCCACACTCAAATTTCTCCAGTTGTTCAGGTAATATATTTTATAACTTGTTTTCACTGATCCAGGATCCAATAAAAAATTATACATTTAGTTGCCATGACCTTTTAGTCTCCTTTATTTTGGGTTAGTTCTCTGACTTTTTTGTATCTTTGATGTCATTGAAACTTACAGAGTTACTCCTGCTAGGCAGTTGCTTTGCAAAATATCCTTCAAGTTGAATTTGTCTGTCAGTTTCCTCATGATGGTGTTCAGGTTGGACATTTTTAGTAAAAATGCTGCATAGGTGATGCCACATCAGAGGATAAGAAGTTTTTTTTATCATTAAAAAATCATTACTTTTGAGTAAAAATAATTTAAAAATGTAACTTTCTATCAGGAAATACTTTAGACATATAAAAAAGTATAGAAAATATTATAAACACCTGGACATCTGCCACCTAGCTTTGCCAGATTTTAACATTTTGCCATATTTGCCTCGTATCTTTTTTACCCATAAAATATTTTATTATTTTTAATATAAAATTCTGTGATATTTTGAAAAATGCATAGTCATGTAGTCACCATCATGATCAACATACAGAACAGGTTCTTCACACCCTGAAATTGTCTTGTGCTCCTTTGTATCATTCCTTTTCCCCACCTCTTGTCCTTGGCAACCACTGATCTGTCTTCTGTCCTTGGTAACTTTGCCTTTTTCAGAATGTCATAAAAATGGGATTGTGCACATGGAATCACAGTGGTATGTAGCCTTTGAGTTAGGCTGCTTCTACATAAGGCATTAGAGGCTTATCTACATTGTGGCACTTTTTAGGGTTGAGTAGTCTTCTATTGTATGGCTAGGTGACTGTTTATACAGTCACCAGTTAAAGGTGTTGTTTGAAACTCAGTTGTTTCTAAATCATGCTTCCATTGCTTGTTTTCCCCATACATCTGTCTTTTTTTGTCAAGTATCTCTTCAGGTCTGCCCATTCTTCCGACTTGGCGGGTTGTTTTCTTATTGACTTTGAAGAGTTCTTTATGTATTCTGGATAAAGTTATTTGGATATGTGACTTGTAAATATTGCCCCAGTTTGTGGCTTATCTCTTTATTCCTCTAACAATGTCTTTCAAAGAGCTTTAAGTTTAAAAGAAGGTTTAAATTCCGATTAAGTCCAGTTTATCAATTTTTGCTTATACAAATTGTACTTTTGGTGTTTTATCTAGGAAATTTTTGCCTAACCCACAGTCACAAAGATTTCACCCCATGTATTCCTCAAAAAATTTTTATAGTCTTGTGTTTTACATTTAGATAAATGATCCCTTGGGGTTAACTTTTATATACGTTATGGGGAATGGATCAAGGTTCATTTTTTTTCGCATATATGTCTAATTTTTTCAGCATCATTTGTTGAAAAAAACTATCCTTCTTCCATTGAATTGCCTTTTTGCCATTATTGAAAATCAGTTGAGCACATATGTGTGATTCTGTTTCTTTTCTGTTGATTTATACATTTGTACATTCTCCAGTACCACACAGTTCTGATTGCTGCAGGTTTATCAGTTCAGTCTCTCAGTCATGTCTGATTCTTTGCGACCCCATGAACCGCAGCACGCCAGGCCTCCCTGTCCATCACCAACTCCTGGAGTCCACCCAAACCCATGTCCATTGAGCTGGTGATGCCATCCAACCATCTCATCCTCTGTCTTCCCCTTCTTCTCCTGCCCTCAATCTTTCCCAGCATCAGGGTCTTTTCCAATGAGTCAGCTCTTCTCAGCAGGTGGCCAAAGTATTGGAGTTTCAGCTTCAACATCAGTCCTTCCAATGAACACCCAGGACTGATCTCCTTTAGGGTGGACTGGTTGGATCTCCTTGCAGTTCAAGGGACTCTCAAGAGTCTTCTCCAACACCACAGTTCAAAAGCATCAATTCTTCTGCGCTCAGCTTTCTTTATAGTTCAACTCTCACGTCTGTACATGACCACTGGAAAAATCATAGGCTTGACTAGATGAACCTTTGTTGACAAAGTAATGTCTGTGCTTTTTAATATGCTGTCTAGGTTGGTCATAACTTTCCTTCCAAGCAGTTAAGTGTCTTTTAATTTCATGGCTGCAATCACCATCTGCAGTGATTTTGGAGCCCAGAAAAATAAAGTCAGCCACTGTTTCCACTGTTTCCCCATTTATTTGCCATGAAGTGATGGGACCAGATGCCATGATCTTAGATTTCTGAATGTTGAACTTTAAGCAAACTTTTTCACTCTCCTCTTTCACTTTCATCAAGAGGCTCTTTAGTTTTCCATAAGGGTGGTGTCATCTGCATATCTGAAGTTATTAAGTCTCAAAATCAGATAGTGTGAGTGTTCCAACTGTGTTGTTGTTCTTCAGAATTATAGGAGCTGTTCTAGTTCCATTCGCCTTCCAATAAGAATTTCAGAAATAGTTCATTGATTTCTTAACTCCTGCATTTTGAGGGGAAATCAGAATCTTAACATTCCATGGATACAGTATATCTGCATTACAGGCCGCCTTTGATTTATTTCATCAGTGTTTTGTACCTTTTAGCATACA